ACGGCGGGTGTGACCGGTCAGCATGTGATGCTAACTCCTCCATGGCACCTGATCCCACCTCTGATGATTCGGAGGTTTGCTCTGCTCCTATTTTGTATTGTTTTATGGACTTTGAGATTAAATATTGTTCATTATCGCCATATCGCTATTTTGAAAAAATTCTTCCTTAGAAAATAAACTGTGCTGGATTTCCAGACGTAAATTAAGTTAAAGCGAAGTTCTTCCAAATTACAAAATTAGTACATTATAAAATTGAGAAGGAGAGCAAGAACACTTAAGAAGATTTTGTTTAAGATGTTCCATATCTAGACATTATAGAGTCCGTTTATAATAAAAAGGTTTGGACGCAGCAATATGGGAATATCTGTAGAGAATGCAGGATTTAAACTTCAACTTAAAATGTGATAGTATGCAAGGATAACCTTTTTAAGATAAGGTGTATCACAAATGTGTACACCATTTATTCATTTATTTGCATCTTTTAGGCTCAAATAAAGCCTGTGTTGAACAACTTCTATAATAAAATAAAAACTAAGCTGTATTCTATAGGTGAAGAATCTATAATAGAAAAATTTCAGTGTATTTCCTGACAAGTTTTCTAGATAATAGAAGTTGCAAAATAATGAATTTAAAAAGAATGTCGATATTCTTCTTTAATCAACTTGTTTGACGATAATTTGCCTCTACTCATGTATTAGTTTTGGGAAAAAAAATTCATATGATAACAAAATGCCAAAATAGGTCTTCAAATAACCATGGAAATTCCGGCCGATTGTTAAAAGAACTGAGTTCTTATAATTAAGTTTACATTCAGATTTAAAAAATATGATAAAACTGTAAATGACCAATGTTAAGGTAAACTTTTGAGTTCCCTTTTTTTAATTGCAAAAGCAGATGTATGTATTATTTCAACGACCTTTTTTATGTTTTGGTAGAAAATGTTGAAAAGTGGCACAATGTAACCATTGAAAATTTTTAACTGCATTGGAATAATATTTTGGTGAAGAACATATTTTTTCAACAATAAATTATCGGAGTAATTGACTTTTTGTAACATCAAATGATTTATCATATTTGTTTCTGTTCGAGACATTCATATTTTGAGTGTGTATATCAAATCAACTGAACGTCATTAACATTAAATAGAAAGTTATGTTGAAAGTACCGCTATCTAAAAAGGTAAAGGTGGTGATGGATAAAACTAAAGTAATCTGTTTGTCCAACAGTTTAGTTATAAGTTGGTAAAAATCGTCAAATTTGAGGAAAACATCAAAATATGAAATGCTTGAAACTATGTAGGCGTTTCTGTAATGTGTTTTTAAATATATTTTTATTGTACTTGAATAAGTGGGGGTTTCTTTTGGTCAAAAGCGCTCAAAGAATACACAGTTTGGGAATCATTCTTTTGTTTAAATGAAATTAAATCTAAAAATCAAGATCTAATTGCTGTATTGAAGATTTATTTCAATTTTAAAAAATCCATTGAAAATTAAGCTGGAATTAAGCTTGTCATTGCAGCTGCTTTACCAAAAGGTTCATGAAAAGCAATACATTAACACGTGAGAACAATTAAGTTAAATGCTAGCTCTACATTGTTTTTCTAAATCTAGACCCAAAGAACCTTTTTTTCATTATTAAGGTTCTTTGAAATTTAAAAAATAATCAATATTTTTCATGTTATAACTTTAGCTCGTCAAACTTTCTTGACATCAATTTTTCTCATAGAATTTTATTTGACAAATAATGTTTTGTCATTTGATTTGACGCATTGATTCGTAAAGGATTAGGAAATGTTTTTTTCGAACCTTTTAATGGAACTTTTACATTAATTGTTAGATTTTGCGAAAAAACAGTATTTTTGCATAGATAAAAAAAATGGTCGTCAAATAGATGACGAACCATTTATATTTCCTGAGAAGCTTAAAAGTGTAGTGGTACAGATTGCTGTCCTATTTTTTGTTTGGTATATTTTTGATTGAAAACAACTCAAGTAAAGTTTAAGGTATACCTGACCTTGGGACATCGGGATAAAATTGAAAGTAGACTGTCTATATCACATATAATGATGACATTGTAAGTTAGTTATTCGTAGAAAAGAATTTTTTAACAAGCTAATTCAGAGAATTCGTGTCCTCCGGTAAGGGAAAAAGTCGGATTCCCCTGACTAAATTTGTAGAATTATTAAATGTTTACATGTATACTGAAGCAAATAAAATACATGTATGTCAAAATGCATATAAAGATTTGATTGCTTATTCTTTATTATATGTATAGAAGATTCTTTTTATATGGAATATTTATCACACTGTAATGATGATTTTATGAGTTTGTACAAGCCAGACCTCATATTATTTTCATTTCACATGCTGAATACTATCATTTAGTACAAAAAAAGTATTTCGGAAAAAAGAGAAAATGGATAATTCGGAATTCGATCCCGGGACCTCTTACATTTGAAGCGAAAGACACACCACTAGACCACGGAACTGCTCTACCCTAGGGAAAATTAAATGCAAAGATGATGTCACATACATGTATTTATATATTCACGTTCGATATTGTCAAAATTTTACAGAATGCATGGTGTCTAATTTAACCTTTATTAAACAGTTCTAATGTAATAAGAATAGAAAGTCCGCCAAGAACTTGTTTTAAACGCAATAACTGACCTCATGCCCCTGTGCTAAAAATAGCGACATGTAGTACAATAAATACTAATAAAACAAACTGGGCGGGACACTTTGAGAGGGGTGAGAGAGGTCCTAGGGAATTTTGGTATAAAATTACATTGCGAAAGCTCAAAATCCTCTTGAAATATCGCTCGGATTGGATAGTGTTACACACAGACAAATGTATAAATTTACGACCTTGAACTTTGACCTTTTGACCACAAAATGAATAAGGGTCTTCCTTAGGCCACAGGGAGTTATTTTGTAAAATTTCATTGCAAAAGCTTATAGGGTTCTCGAGATATAGCGCGAAAGCGAAAGTGTTATATCAGACAGAATTTGCAAATTTATGACCTTGACCTTTGCCCTTTTGACCTCAAAATCAATAAGCTTCTTTTTTTAGTCCATAGGGAGTTGATATGCAAAATTTCATTGCGAAAGCTCAAAGGGTTATCGAGATATCGTGTGGAAACGAAAGCGTTATGTACAAACAGGCAGAATGATGGACGGACGGACGGATGGACGGACAGACCCAAATTAATATACCCCACTTTTCAAGCGGGGGACAAAAATCCCGATGTCATTGTTTACCTTTGAATCTTTTTATTCGGTTGTGGCTGATAAACCATCCATACCGGGTATGCTTAATTCAATACTTAAAAAAAAAACGTTTCTCAAATTCTTGTTATAAAAAATAATTGTTCGTTAAAAATTTGAAAATTGTTAAAGTAATTTGTATTTTTAGGATTCAGTCCGGCACTACTTAAATACTTATTCCATCCATTCATTCATGTGTAGTTTTCGTATATCAACACCATGATTTACAATTAAATACTTTTCTGTGAATCGCATTTTTAAGAGTATACGTGAGTATTTTTATCAGCAATTGGTATTTATTTGTCCGTGTTATTTTCCCTTCTTCTTAACTTTTATGCAATAAAATGTCGAGTTCATAACCACTTAAGCAAAATTGGAAAAATAATACTTTGAATGCTATAAATATAGTATATAATGAATTAACGTGATGGAAAGTAGTTAAATAAAAGCATGCAATGGAATAACTCAATCATGAACATAATGAAATGAAAATATATTGCTGTAAAAATTTTGACGTCTAATAATAATTTGATAATTCTTGTTCCTGGATATCTCAACATCCTGACAGGAACTGGAAACTGAAGACTTTATACAATCTAATTTATCAAATGAACTTAATCTGTCCAATGCACTATCCCTTACAATATATTTTTTTAGTAACTCCAATGATATACTTTGTCTAAAGACGGTAATCAGTATGTGTACTGTATTGTTTCTATTTTCACTTTGATATACCAGTTACCTGGTCCTGGGGATAAAGTTAATAATCCTCCCTGCATCACGATGTTTGTTTACTTCAAATACCTCATTGACACACCACTGATAATAAAATTAATAAAAAATACATTACAATTGGGATGGTTAAAGCACATTTATTAAACTGCCAGATCCCCCTTTTCTTTTAGAAGATTATCCTCATATATATTCCAATGTTAATTAAAGTTTTACTCCTCTCATGTCACACTCTATTCACACATCCAACGATTGCATGCGCAATTGTTTACACTAAACTGCATATTAATGTATTGTGTATAACATTAAATATAATAGGTAAAGATAAAGAACAGTGGTCAATCCCCCCAAAAAGCTACCATACAAATCTGTACATAGAGCATTAAATCCCCCTGAAATTTCAGACGTCGGATCAGGTGTATATGAGGAGTAGCAAACATATCATTTTTATGACATCGAAAATAGAAAATTATTTGTTTTAATGCTACTGACTATTCATAAGAAGGGATCAAGATACAGAACTTCTATTTTTTTTTATTTAGATGAATTAATGTATTTGTCAGGAGTATAATCAAATAAACACTTAAAGTACTTGGCAGAACATCTTCGTCTGACAAGTATTCGAAATATCTTACTTACGTTTACAAGTGTGTAGTGTCTTTTATGTTAGCACTTTGTTGAACTCATGCGTATTCTGACCATCCATTACATTTTATCACAAGTATCATCGTAAGTGTTTATTTTTAATTATAATAACTGTAAGAAAGAACACTTGGATATATCCTATCAATTCTTATGTTTTTTTGTCATAAGTTGTGAGGCAATGAATTAAATATACACAAACCAATGATTCTTTTGGCAAAATAAAAAGAAAACGATAAAAAATTAAGCAATTTATTAGTATGAGTGGTAATATAATGAAGAAAAAACCACTCAAAACTATCAATTATGACATAAAAACGAAAGAATAAATAAGAAAGCAAAGTAAAATTCAAGCAAAACACTATAACTTACTCGAACTTATTTTTGGTGTTTACCCTTTATCTGTATACTTACTATTGGAAACAATGTATGAACAGTTTATTTAAGGAAGGGAATGTTTTCCCTTGACAATGTTCTCTGAAGCAAAATAAATAAAAAATACATGCACAATTAAATTATATACACTTCTACAAATCATTTTCTAAAGTAACTGGCATGTAAACATCGTCAACAATCAATTGTTTCGAATTGCCTTTGCGACATTGGACTTGGGCGTAAGTGTTTTCTGCGTCATTTTGTAATTCCCTTTCAGCTGTACCATACTTGTTTTCACTAACACATTCAATCTCCTCCTTCTCATTTAGATGATTGTAGTGGCATGGATCTTGATCAATGCTATGATTTTGATCCTTTTCTTCATGGACAACCTCAATGCTAGCAGCACTCTTTTTATAACTTTTTGTCTTTCTTCCCTGCAATGTATGGTTAAGTCATGTTTTATTAAAAACAGACCGTCTGAAGGGAAGTATCCTATGAAATAATAAGTAATCAAGAAAATCTCACCATGTCGCTGCCATCATTTGTCTTTCTGAACAAAGTAACACCCTCTGTGTTGGGAGACCGCTGTTTGTAGCTTCTTTTAGTAAAATAAACATTTTTTTCATCATTTCTTATCCCCCGAAACATTAATCTTAATACAACAATTTTTATGAAAAGTAAAAAAAAATTTGAATTGTGAACAATAAAAATACCTTTTTAATAATTGAATGAAATTTCAAAGTGGCAGATTCCATATATATGTACTTTTTTGACAGTGCATTAGAATTTCAAACATAAATGCAAGAACAAAACCCCAATAGAATGTGTGTGTGAAACACTGATGCCCCTGTATGACAGGTGATGGAAGGCTGATATTTTTCACTTACAAGTCAAACTTCAAAGTCAAGGTCAAAAAGTCGAAATTGTTGCTATTACAGGAAGGTATTGTCACAAGAAATACTCTTAGCACTAACAATTAAAACGTCAAATGTTTGATTTTTCTAAAAGTAGGTTAATGTTTAAAGTCAAGGTCAAAAGGCCGAATATTTTAGTACTTGTTCTTGTCACAGAAAATGTACAAGCTAAGTATGAAAGTCCTAGCACCACCCATTCAAAGTAATGGCAAATGTTCAAAATTCGGAATTTATTTATCAAAAGTTGGTGAAACTTAACAAGGAAAAGCTCAGGATTTGCAAATTGGTACATGTAGTAACCAAGAAATGTCTTGTCACAAGAAAGAAATGCGAACGATAGTATTGTTCTCCGCCTACCCCCAAGTCAATTTTCTAAATTTAACATATACGATGAACTTTAAATATTTTTTTTAGATAATTATATAGATTTTCATAAAATATTAATATTTGGGAAAACAAAGAAAGATAACTTTAAAATTTTAGTTTTTTACTAAAGAAATCAACGGAAAACGGAAATATGTTTTAAACATCTCCCCCCTCCCCCACCCGGAGTCACAAAAATTCCTTTTTACATGTTATATGGAATGTTATTTCATAAATTCATACCACAGCTTTTTGTGTGACACTGGGGGAAACATATGTTTATTGACAAAACAAAAACCGATAAAAATGCTTATTTTTTACACATTTCAAAGCGATTTACAACTGAAACATTATATTTTATTGATATAATTATGTTTTATTTATTTGCCTGGAAAAATAATAAAAGATATAAGGAACATATAATCATATCCAGGAATATTTCAAAATATGGTGATGCTTGAAACTCCGGTTTCAATGGAAAATACCGTCCCCCCCCTTTTTCAAGAGCTGGAATTATGGAATTTACTGATCATGGCGCTGGTATTAACACAATTCATCAATTATCACTGAACTGTTCTTTGTATTGAACAATGATTTTATGGCCTAATTGCTATTTGGATTGAATTAAATGGTTCCAAAATGTATGCGGGAATCGAGAGTTAGCGTGCGTATTTCTTTAAAAACACATGTGAAATATGAAAGCAATTACTCCTCCATATCAAAATTTATTACCAAAGTTAATGTTTTTGCGGACAAAAAGAGAGACAGAGAGGCGGACGGACACGGCAGAAACTATATTTACCCCGAGATCGATTACGGGGGGCATAAAAAGACAACACTTACAAGTTTTGAGGATTCTCAACAGATCGCAATTTACTACTGCAGACAGCAAAGATAAGTGTTGTTACAGAAGCACCAAAAATTAAACTGATGATACCAGACCAGATTGCAAAAGCTGAAAAAGAATTTATTGGCTATAATAAGCTTAAAAATATATAGGCATAAATTAGAATCATGTGAAATCGAATCATAAACGATCCATAAAATCAAACGTTCAACCAATATAATGAGAATGTATATTCAACCGGGGAATTCAAGACTTTAACAGAATTCTGCTCATAATTGATTATTCACTATTATATATAGAACGTAATTGTACGTAGTTTCTGAAATGATATTTGATCAATATTTCACTTATTAACAAGTAACAGCTTTTTAAAAAGCTTGCCTGACTAAATCAATCAATTTATCTGCATGAAGAGTGATAACCCTTTTGAGCAATACTTTGTGGGTTTAAAAAATATCATAACTTTATATTTTGAGAACCTTATGTAATTGAAATCCTGGTTCTACTGAACTTGTAGAAGAATCATCTCTACACTGCATACTAAAGAACTTTGTAATTGAAGGGGGGGGGTCTGCAAGTGGAGTGATCTGCCCTTGGATCTAAATTGATTTCAAGCTACTTTGTAACACCTGTTATAAAATCTGTTATCAAATCACGCATTGTGAACATTTTAAAAGATGGATATAATTGAAATTTAAAACACATTTTGTTGGAGTGTATTTTCTCCTCTGAAGTGAACAGTAGTAATGTGTGTTCATTATTTTTGTTCTTAAAATGGGAGGGGGGTGACACACTCATATAATACATGATATATTGAGAATGAAATAAGTAAATTCAATAGTTAGGCTTTGTAGAAAGAAATATCCAAGATTATTCACTACTTTTTTATTTATTGTGTGCATCTGAACAAAGACATATAATAGATCATGCATCTGGGGACGATGGCTTGAACTGCGTTGTTTATTATTATTGGACTCGTCCATTTATGGAATAAACCAACCGCGGGATCGGTAAACAAATTAGAAACATCATTTCTTTAGTGTTACATGTCCATATACCATGTATACTGATGTATACGATATGTTATTTTAAAGAATGGTATAAAACTTGTAAATAGAATATCTGAAGCATTAGAAGGAAGTTAAAAGGACAAACTTTATTTAATTCCATGGAAGTTACCACACCCATTCATACAATAGAACAATCCAAGGAAAAGGCGCGAAGATAGCTTACTAGTGACATTTGGCGCGAAAAGAGTGATTCACCCCTTTCGTAGAATATAAATGGACTGATCCAGTAGTATAGAAAAGAAGAAAAAAGGATACACGGACATGTTGAAACGGCAAATCATATGGAATAATCTGTTCCATGCAAAAAGATTAAAGGAAGTAAACACTGCAGTATTTTGCATCAGTAATATCTTTCTTTTTTCTGAAAACTGTTTCTTTTAAAATGCAGGTAAAGAATTCCAATGTAAATCAGCTCGCACAAATTCTAGCTCTTTAGATATGGTCGCACATTTTCGGATCTTGGAAATATCAATCCTTATACTGCCTGACGCCGTGACGTCAGGCAATAACGTGCTTTAAAGCAAATCAATATACATAAACAGGTGGAGATAGCGAGCGGTATTTGATCTCAAAAATCCTAAACATAACAAAACAGAAGCAAAGTAAACAAGGACATTCCAAACAATTGAGGTGGGATCAGATGCTCTGGAGGAGTGAGCATGCTGTTTTATTCGATCACATCCGTTGCATGTTTCTTGTCATGATCAAGAAATAACGGAAAAAGTCCTTGGACACCTCAGTGTGTACATAATGGCCTAAAAATCAGTATGTAAAAAGTTGTTGTCAAAAAGAGTCCCTCCCGAATCATCTAAAATCGTCTGAAATTACATATTTTGTAGTTTATAATCTAAATATATCATATATTATTGCTTGTAATCAAACAAATTACTTGTATAAAATATTTCTTTGATATCAATAATGTTAAATGACATCAAAGCGTTACATTTTGTTGTTATAACTGTTAAATTTGAATATTTTTATGCTTGTAAAATTGCAATTTAAAGAGAGAGGAATAATTAAAATCAAACAGTAGATTTTTTTAGCTCACCTGAGCTGAAGGCTCAAGTGAGATTTTCTGATCACATTTTGTCCGGCGTCCGTCTGTCTGTCTGTCTGTAAACTTTTCACATTTTCGACTTCTTCTCAAAAACCGCTAGGCCAATTTCAACCAAACTTGCCACAAAGCATTCTTGGGTGAAGGGGATTCAAATTTGTTCAAATGAAGGGCCACGCCCTTATTCAAGGGGAGATAATTGGGAATTAATGAAAATTTGGTGGTATGTTTTAAAAATCTTCTTCTCAAGAACCACTGTGCCAGGAAAGATGAAACTTATTGTTAAACATCCTCAGGTAGTGTAGATTCAAGTTGGTTCAAATCATTACCCCCGGGGATAGGGCGGGGCCAGAATGGCCGACCAAAGTTTTACATAGATATATATATAGGAAAATTTTTTAAAAATCTTCTCAAGAATAGCACATACATAATTGATCATATTTGTATGGAAGCATCCACAGGTTGTGTAAATTCAAGTTTGTTCAAATCATGACCCACGGGGGTAGGGCGGGGCCAAAATGGCCGACCAAAGTTTTACAAAGAAATATTTAGGAAAATTCTTTAAAAATATTCTTCTCAATAATAACAAAGGCATAATTGATCAAATTTATATGGAAGCATCCTCAGGTAGTGTAGATTCATGTTGGTTCAAATCATGACCCCCAGGGGTAGGGCCGGGCCAAAATGGCCGACCAACGTTTTAAATAGAAATATATAGGAAACTTCTTTAAAAATCTACCTCTCAAGAATAGCAAAGATAAGGTTGGTCATGGGGCTACATTTGGATTTAAACTTTTCAATTATAAACCAATTTCTACTTTTTCCTAGCCACAATCCGGGTGAGCTATGTTGCCCATGGGCCTCTTGTTTAACATTACAATCACACCGAAATCAAAATTTTGACTGTGATGTTTCAATAGTCTGGTCAATTTCTAAGGAATAAAAAAAAAAACCTGATGTTATGTTATCTTATGTGTACTTGAATTGATAATAATTTTTTCTATCAAAGTAAAAACTGATTAAATAATTTATACTTCAAATTGAAAAGAACATTACTGAAATTGAAAATTAACCCGATAACATACTGGACATGGATATAAAACCCATTTAAGAAAATCAATTAATTCATATCATAAAAATTAATGCACAAATCCGCTCAAAATGGGTTACTGAAAGTAAAAAATCAATTGCCCCTACATGGGTAAACCAAGTCAATGACGGCAAAAAAAATGCCAAAATAATATTAAACCTAGTTTAAACAGTATTTCGTTGTTCAACATAATGTGGCTTTTAACAATTTATCTTTCGTACTTTGTTTGCATATAATTTTTAAGTATTCTGCAAAAAAGAATATAAACAAAAACACCAAAAATTCTATGTACTTACAATTTCAAATTTGTAATTGAGCTTTGGTCTTAATCCCTTGTAGCTGCCAACGTATTAAAATACATTTAAAATTGTTCATGAGTACGGTGTTGGAAATAATTTTTACAAAATCTGATAATTTTCAGCATGAAATAATTGAGATATAATGATTGATTGATTGTATATTGTTTAACGTCCCTCTTGAGAATTTTTCACTCATCAGGAGACGTCACCGTATGCCGGTGAAGGGCTTCAAATTTAGACCTATACTCGGCACTCAGGGCCATTGAGCAGTGAGGGTTCTTTATCGTGCCAGCGCCTTCCGTGACACGGGACCTACGTTTTTAAGGTCATATCCGAAAGACCCGTGACTTTCACTTCTAGTGCCGAGCGCTTGGCGAAGGAACAGTCACTACCTTTGTTTACGTCTTAGGTATGACGCGGCGCCGCGAACGAGAATCGAACCCGGGCCTCCCAATCACGAAGCGAACGCTCTACCACTAGGCTACCGTGACCGGTACTTGAGATATATAGTTTTATATACAACAGTGTTAAGGTAAGAACAAAGAACAGTTTCAATAAAAATATTGCCCTGTGGTGTTTTTTAAAAATGAAACCAATGTAAAAATGGAAAACTCATCATTTTGAATTATTGAAACTATTGAAGCTAATCGTGGCGTCATAAACATGAACATTTCCTTGTATTTCCGTAAAAAGATGTTGAAGACAACACTTTTCATTGGAATTTTCTTTCAGATAATATTTTCCACATGCATCGCCACAAATTAAAGATTTTGACATATGATGAATTTTCAATGAATTTTACACAACATATCAAAAAATAAAAGTGAGCGACGGCTGTCGACACTATAATCTCAAGGAAAATATCCCTTGAACTGGGTCTTTTGTGAAGCTTTTTCTGTTTTCAATAAAGAAATACATCAAATTAATGACGTTATATTTCCGTATTTCTTTGTGCCATATGCTTTCATGATTTTATCACAGTCATTATTAACTGAACTAATATATATAAACCTGTTTCTAAAGTTTATGAAAACATTACATTTTTAGGAAACAATAAAGCTAAAACTGTACCTTCTTCTTTCTTAGCTAAGAATTATTAACAATATACATTTATAAATAGCAGTCTTGAATCAAAATTAAAAATTTTCAACTGCATAGATACATGTACAATATTTATATATGTACTCTACCTCTGGTATCAAAGAATGTCCCCTCCATGTTTGGAATTATATGCTCTGGCAATTCTTTTGCAAAGAAGAAAAAAAAAGAAAAAAAGACAAATAATAACATACTGGAAATTACTTGAAATTGATTTCTCAATGGATTCGAAAAATCAAGAGAAATATTGTATTGTTTTTTGTATATATAAATTGTGACTTGAAGTTTCATTTAGCCCTCTAAATATTGTGACAAATACAAATGAGCAGTATAAGCTTGATTCTGTAATATAATTTTGTTTTTTTTAACTAAGTTTGATCTCTTGACTGTAAGGCAGTACTTCATATATATTTAAAAAAATTGTTTCAAATGAACAAAAAAGAAAAGAATATTCATAATCAAATATTGTTTTAAAGTAAAAAAAATTCTTATTCATATATTAATATTTAATTTTATGCTGTAATTATTTTACAGTAAAATAAAAATCTTATCTTCTTCTTAAAAGGTATATATTAAAAAAATTTCCAAGAAACCAAAAAAATCACAATCAGTTTCGTTGAACTCATTCAAAACTATAATTGTGTTATTTTCTCCATCATTGGTCAGATATTCATGTCCATTTATAATTTTCGCTTGTTATTGAAGCTCAGTGAACATCAGACAAGTAAACATAAACATCTAAAAAGTGTGGTGTAACTTATAAAGCAACGAGAAGTCAAATAAATAAATATCCAGTATTTACCAATACATGAGCCGTTCCATTCGGTAAACCCAACATCGCAGCTACATAGGAAAGAGGATGAATTACCAACACATAAACTTGCATCTGGTGTACTCGTGCATTGTTGATGATACTGGCACGGGGCATTGAGGACTTTATGTCCTGTTTTATCGTAAATATATAAAGAACAGTCCAATGAGCCAAGTCATTCACCTGAGTATCTTTAACCATGCTTGTCTTTACCAGATTTCCCCCTAGTACTACATATTATGATCCGCCTTCTCCATAGGTCATGATTTGCACAATTTAAAATCTACACTACCCCAGGATGCTTTCGCATAAGTTTTACAAGTTTTTCCGAGATTTTTAATTTTTTTTCTATATAGTTCAATGTAAAACTTGATTTCCAGATTGTGATCCTGGCCTACCCCGGGGTTCATGATTTGAACAATTTAGAATCTAAACTACCCAAGAATGCTTTCACATAAAAAAGTTTTTCTTGCCCAGTAGTTCTTGAGAAGATTTAAAAAAAGATTCCTATATATTTCATTGTTTAACTTGAATTACAAATTGTGACCCCGCCCTTAACGTGGAGGTCATAATTTGAACATTTTAATATCTACACTGCCCAAGGATGCTTTCATATTAGTTTCTGTGAATCTGGCCCAGTGGTTCTTGAGAAGACTTTAAATTAAAGATTTTTCCATATATTTTAATATACATGTAAAACTTGGGTTTACTTTTGTGGCCCCGCCCTACCCCGGGTTGTCATGATTTTGTTAATAAAATATCCTATATATTTCTAATATAATCCTTTGATTCCCTGTTGTGACCCCGCCCGTCTTACCCGCAAGGGTTTTTGATTTGAACAATATAGACTCCAAACTACTCAATAATTCTATCACATACGTTTCATCTTTTCTGGCCCAGTGATTTTCGATAAGTTAATTTTAATTTTTTTGTCCTATATATTTCAATGTACAAATTTGATTCATTATTATGGCCCCGACCTTACCCTGGCGGTCATAATTTGAACAGTTTAGAATCTTCACTACCCCAAGATGCTTTCACATAAGTTTCAGCTTTTCTGGCCTAGTGGTTCTCGAGCAATTTTTTTAATGGTGCCATCCTATTATTGTTTTTCTCGATTTTCTCTCCTTTTGACGGGACTTGGCCTTTCATTTTAATAATTGAAACTTCCATTTTCCCAAGGATGCTTTGTACCATGATGGATTAAATTGGCCCAGTAGTTCTTGAGAAGAAGTCGAAAATGTGAAAAATTTAATGACGGATAGACAGACAACTAGACGGACGGAGGACGGACAGCGGAAAAAATCTGATTAGAAAAAGTCACTTGAGCCTTCGGCTCAGATGAACTATAAAGACTAGACGAAGAATAATAGACGTTTTTTCAAACTATCCATATATATTTTTTTGAAACAAAAAATGTTTTATTCGATAAAATTTAATTTAGAGAAGAAAACTAATAAATGCAATTACATGCAATATTATTAATAAATTCAAAAGAGGTAATAAATGTTGTTTAATTTTTTTGAGACTTTTTAAAGCACCTTTTACACAGTTAGCTTCAATTTGAATATATCCACTTTCACAAGAACAATGTCCTTCTTTACATGTTCCATTACATTGTTGACACTGCTCATCTAGGCTGCAAGGTTCCCCAAGCTTTAAATTTCCTGTTAAAAAAATAGAAGAAGGTTTACAATATTTATTTCTGAGAAATTGCTGTTGTCTTCATATAAGATCTATTTTGAAAATCATGGTTAACTTAGTATAATTCATTTGCACTATATTTTTTACTCAAGTATAAGAAACGCATTTTTAAATCAAAATGAAAACCCAACTACATGTATTCGTTTATTTACATTGAATTTTTATTATTCTGCACAATTAAAATAAAAGGGAAAGTACATGACATTCAATTTTAAATCATCTATTTCCAACACAATAGCCCATCCACACATATTTTAACATTTATTTGAATTGAATCCAGACAATTGCAACGCACGCCTGGTGGGCCTGGGTTACTTCGGGGTTAACTAGAAGTACCAACCTTATTAAAATTCATTCACAAAAAGACAACTTATGTAATAAAAATTTATAACATCTCATTTAACAAAAAAAATACAGTAAATTTCTTTACATAGCTTTTTTCTCTTTAAAACCTTTTAACCTTTTGCCTCTTTGTAAAATTATATAATTCTTAGTTGAAAAGATATTTTTTTTACAAGATAAGCATACACTGTATATTTAAAAAATACTTGAACTAGAAAATTTCAGTTCCAAGCACCCAAATGTCTTTAGAATTCATAGTAATACCCCCAGGTGGCTAATTAATCGTATTTAGTCCCAAGACAGCAATGATTGTACAATACGTTTTGGTTCACACATAAAATTTTTGAGAAATTTTCAGTAAATATTTATAACAAACGGACTGTTTTATTAGAAAACTATATCTTACTTGGTCAAGAATAATACTGACCAATTGTCAAGTTTTACCACAAATACAACGTGACAATATCAATACATGTATTACCATGAATTTGATTTATCGTAACGATTTCAAAATGCTGTAATATTTTTAAAGAGAAATAATCCTCTTGTGTGAAATGCCTTCAGTTATCTAGGTTTTTCTTATTTTTTTGTATCCAGCTACAAGATCTTCGTTTTAGTTGGAGATTTATATTTCATCTTTTATACATAGATGTTTTCAAGAATTGACAATCTTCATCATTAGGTATGCATGCCAATAATTTTTTGTAGGGATTAATGGCACTTATTATTTTTGTTTTTTAGTGTTTTGTTGCCATATGTAAATAATATAATCCTGTTCTTACCAGTGCATGATCGGTTCATCTCTACAAAACCTCGGTCGCAGCTACACTGAAGATGTGAAGAATTTCCAAGGCATAAACCAGCATTAAGTGTCCCTGTACATTGCTCGTGATACTGACATTGCGAACCAAGAGTTTTATTTTCTATATCGACAGAAAACCTTTTAAGCTATGCATAAACTATAGTTAAATTCACAAAAGCGGTTTTTTAAAATTGTTAAACATGTATTTACCTACAATGATTTTCTAATTTATTTTAGAAAATCATTTCATTTTTAATACTTTTCCATTATTGAAAGGCTTTTTACGGACAATCGGAACACTGCATTCTTTTTATCATTTTTTGATTTCGAGGAAAGCAACGATACCCATTTCGTTTAAATCTTATTACAATATTTTTTAAAGTAGTTTTTGTCGTTTTATATGATGTTCAGATCCAGCACAGTCTGGTCCAATTTATAGAAAAAATACTTCTAACGGCAAATGATTATTTTTTGGTCCAGCATAGATGTTTAACCTATTTCGAGTATGCTGAATCCGATAAAAAATATGCTGGTCTTCATGAAAATGGCGTTAAAAATGTCAAAATGGCGAACATCCAATTTTTCTAATTTTCTCTTAATGTCATTCAAAACGGAGAAATAATATGTGAATATCTCACTAATGAAACAATAAAAATGATAATAGAATGCTAACATTATAACTTCAGTCGTTTCAAAATTTAATTCGAAATTACATCTGTAAATATCTATACACTGCAAATTTGTTTTTTTTCCTCTGCATCTTACTATTCTACAACTGAATGATGGCGCAGCTGTAAGTTTTAAGTCAAAATGGCGATTCAAAATGGGGATATTAATTTTTTCAAATTATTTCTTAATGTTCAAATGGGAGAAAATATTTCTGAATATTTTACTGATCGTAGTACAACTATGAAAATGACAATAGAGCACTACTCTTCACTATAATTCGGAATATTATTTATTAATCAGATGAAATTTTTCCCTCTGCACCTCGCTATTCTACAACTGAATTATGGTGCAGCTGTCTTATACCATATCTTAATACCACGTACTGCCTGACATTTCATTTGGACGGATTTTTCAATTGTCGTTTCATTCTATATGGCAAAACGTTCTTATTTCGTTTTGGTCAAGATATTTGGTAGGTAATACATATATTCCCCGAACGACATGAAACTAGAAAGAAATGTTTTTGTTTTTGCCACTTAAAAATGCCACTTATATTTTCTATGAAAAACTACTACTGCTGTCTACTGTTTCAATATCAAGGTATGCGGAATGCACAAATGTTGATACTTTTTGATTAACTACAGATAAATGATAACGTTACAGTGAGAATTCGTGAACATTCATGGTATAGGATACACCCAGCAAAAACGATTGTTCTACAACTTTTAATGTTCCTATATTGTCAACTAGTCATATGTCGTATTTTTGGAATTTTGATCTTTGTATTCCCCTATATATTGTATTAAGGTCACATTTAATAAAATTTATTGAAATATTAAATGTGTTTGGTTATGTAATTTAATGTGATTTCAATGTTTACCTGGTCATGTGCTTGTGTTGTGATTTGAGTTGTGTGTGGTGTTTTGTCCAGTTTGGTATTGTCATGTGATGCATTATGATGGTAATTGAGGGCCTTGCCCTTTCCTGCTATTGGTTAGGTTAGTTAGGTCATTGAGTATAGCTTTACAGGTATGTTAGGTGGTAGATTTCATGCAGTTCATGCTTCTCACATTCTACCCAGACCTTGGTCCTGATTGCAGCATGTTAGAGTTCTTTTCCTAGTTTTACTAATTTTGTTGTTTAATTAATTCTCTATACTCTTTGACTATGACATTTAAAGTAAATATAATGTTTATCTAAGGTTAAAGATTAGAATAAGTTAATAATTTTGTTTAATTTAAGGTTTTATTGGTTTTAAATAATCTGAATGTTAAAAACTACATGTAAGTTTGTATGCAACACCGTGAACTGTTTTATATTATTTTCATAGCAGCAGGTGCTGGTTTCCCAATTTTTGTCAATTCTGCATTGATCAGTATATTTACAAGCCTCCAGACACATTGTCTTTGGTAAGAACATGTATTTGTTATTTAGATCTTTTTATTACTTTGAATTGGTTAATGAAGCTATTTGCTATAAAGTATGTTTGACAAATATTTTTGATGTACCAAGTTTAATTACCAAAATCTATTTTTTACTTCTATTTTCATGTTTTATCTAGTAAAGCCTATGAATCTTTTCAGTTGAAATTAAGAGTTATTGCACTTTATTCAGAGTGCAGTATTGTATACATTCATCATAAGGGAAAACATAATGTTAAATATTTTTGTCATACCATTATATTTCATGTTATGTATGTTTGTTTATGCTTGTAATTATTTGCTTTGCAGGTCAACTAGTCATATGTTGTAATTTGTATTTAATTTTGATCTTTGAAAATACACTTATTCTATCAATTTACCAGCGAACATTATTTTGAAAAAAAGAAAAATATTCTGCATAATGAAAATATTTGATCTGCACAAATGAATAAGAAATTTACGAAAATAAAATCGTTACCCATCCGAATGAAATATCATGTTATATTATAATTTTTAAACAGATTTTATAAATGCAGTGTGCAATTATCAATGCAATGGGGGTGTGGACATTTATAGTAAAATAAAAATTCAGCGGCTAAGACCAAAACTTTAGTTGATTGTAAAATTTTGCAAAATTAAAAATTCTCTTTGAAATTATTTGTGTAAAAATATCTTACCTCATTACTTTAAAAAAGTTTAAAATAACTTTCAATATAAAGTTAATACTAAAAAGTTATGTGAAGAATTAAATTTGGTCTTAAGTCGTAAGTCCTTTTGTAAAACGGGCAGCTAGTCAGTTTTGCATATAAAGATTTTAAACGTCATTTTACAAAATTGCTCATATTATATTCGTCATATCAGGAATGTGACACCATTAAGCAAAGTCAGGTTACTATTCTTTTCAATATTGAATCGATTACTCCGTTTTATTCTTTTCAATTATCATGAACATACACTGTTTCTACATTCTGCATTTGATTGATTGCACTGACCACTGAGGCTACAGTTCTCTCCAAGTGATAAATTTTCTATGATTGGTGAAATTTGGAAATACATTGGAATGATTTATTTTAAAAAATATATATTCTTTAGATAATCGGATTAAGTAATAAGCAGTTTTGCATAAGTGAAATATGCTTTTAATAAATTTATAGAGCATTTATTTAAAAGTACGTAATAAATAAATGAAAAAATAATTATGCATTTATAAATGTTTACTATTATAAATAGTTGAGTTTTATTTTAACTGTTAAAAACTCATAAAAATTATAATAACATTAAAAATATCTGAAAAATAAGGAGTAAAATGTCCATAATACAAAAAAAGATAATAATCAATTAAATCAGAATAACAAAAAGCACTCTTTCAAAGTTTGGAAAATGGAAGAAAAGGGACATAAAGTTTTAGAAAGAGTTGTTATAATACCTTTAATACATTCTCCATTTTCTTCCTGATAGCCTTCTTTGCATGTACATGTATATCTCCCATTAAATCTGTTGCTGCAAACAGTATTGTTGACACAATTTTTGTTTGATAGACAGATGTCTCCAAGAGAACCTAAAAAAACATCTTTGATTATCTTTTAAATGTACCAAATAAATGTCTATGTGCAAAATCAACTGATTTTCTCTCATAAATAAATAAAAAAAACTTTGTTTTTTTTTCTTAACTTTTAAAAGGATATGATGGCCCCATTTATTAAAAAAAACAACAACAAAATACTAAAAACAAAAAAAAAACGTTTTGCATCTTGACGCCTTTCATATTTACATAGATCACTGCAGAATTATCGTTTTTGAGAATTTTTGTAATATAAAATACAGCTTTAAAAGACATTTACTATTATTGTAGATATTGCAGCTCATAGTGAAGACTTTTTCATCATCAGTTTGGCGACATTTCTTTAAATTTTTGCTAATGGATGAGACAGTCTCCTCAGCTTGTAAATCAAAAATCATCCTCCATGCATGGTAGCCATCAAGTCGTTGCCTCTCATAATCAACAACTAATCTGCACTGGTGACCTAATTCCATTAAAAAAACCATTAAATGCAAAGTATATGTATGCAATTAACAATAAGAGATGTATTAAAAATGACACCGGTAAATCTCGCGGTCTTTTTTAAAAGGACAATAAAAATTATCTTTTTAAAATTATTATGTTGGAATATATCTGAAGGATTTGTTGTGATAAAAACGAATATATTTCTTATCTCAACAGATTGTTAAACTTCTGGGTCGTATTTATTAATTTTTTTTTCAATTTTTTTCTAAAATGTTATTTTTTACCTCTATTAGAAACCTTCTTATAACGTTCAACTACTTCATCTAGACGACAGCCAATTGAATTCATGTACAAAATCAAATCTTCCTTTCTCAAATATCTGAGAAAAAAATATTTCCACATAAGCATAGATTTCATGCCAAATGACAGGCCTTGGATTTTATACAAAACTTTCGTCAACCTGAACAATAATTGATCTCCTCGCTGGAATGACGGGTCGATAGAAGATCCCTACTCCCAACCCCCACCCCAAAGAAAATAATAATAAAAATAATAATAAAGGCATTTTTACAGTCCGTATTTTATGTCCGTCTGTTCACTAAAGATACCATAGAGCCTGACACATATGTTTCATATTTAAATATTTTTCTTGAAAAAGACGTTGAGGATTGTCTAACTACAAAAGTTAATAAAAGCGTGATGATTTTATCTTTTCATTCGTCAACTTTCCTTTCACCCCTTACTATGATATTGACAGACGATTTGCGGAAACAAGAAAATAAGCAGTCTAGTTTAAAAGCACCATTTCGTAAGTTTTAGTTTTGATACAATGACCTTGTCTGCAAATACGATTTATCATCAATTCAAATGCTGACTGACGTTTTTCATATTAACTGTTCATACCAATATCGACAAAATTTTCCGTTATTACCATATCATGAAAAAGAACCCAAATGTGACCGATCGGCAGGGGATGCTCACTCATCAATGACTCCTGATCCCACCCCTGATTTTTTTGAGTTCTATGTTTGTTCCGCTCCAATTTTATATTATCTAATGGACTTTTGAGCTTGAATACCGTTCGTTATTTACCAATATTTCATACACGGAATTAACACTTGTATATTAATAATGCAAACTTACCTGTCAAGTATTAAACATTGTAGAAAATTGGTTGAAACTATCCATACAGTGAAGACTTTAACATCTAGATGAAAAAGATAACATTGTATTTGTACATGTGAACTGCATCTCATTTTTGTTAGTTTATTTTACAAGTACCTCTTTTCGTCTTCTCCACAAACTGGGCATATGATATTTTCAGAATGAATTAAGTCACTATTTTCTGGTGTAGCCTTTAATGTTGTTCTCCTTGTCATCTCAGTTTCTATTCCATTTATTGTTTTTTCCTAGCAATATGCACGCAAATTCTTGAAAATGTTTCTTTGAATTTAATGAAAAGTTGCTGTCTGACAGAACACAAAAAATGTAGATATAAATTTGTTTGATAAAAATACTTCCGGTCGAACGAATTTCGTGATTTAGAGATTTTGAGAGGGTCGAATTTTTGGACCATTATCTTTTAAGCACGTTACAATAGAATGCGAAATATATATGTACAGTGGTGACACAGCAGTATATATTTACTATATTATACTTTGATATGATATTTCATAATTTCCAAACGTCAAAGTACCTTCTTTTCCCTAGACGTTAACTACTTTTGCCTCAACGCTTACTTATTTCTCAATGGATTTTGTTGAGTTTATAGATGTATATATGTTACAAAATGTTTTGATTGAGTTCAGAAACTTTCTTTCCTTTTCGAGTTATTTCTTATGATTAAAAATTAAGATATTTTGCTTTTGAAGACAAAGCTCCAGAACTATAGAAGTTTTGGAACAAATATTAAATGATTGAATTCATATAAAAGAAGCGACATGATGGTAATTGTGTATATCGACTCTTTTTATATGATTTCTGTGTTCAAAATAGCGCTAATTAAATGAAGAGGGATAACAATTTGAACACCTAAAAGACCACATGTATGGACATATATTCCTAAGAATCATTTAAGTAAGAATCCGTTATAGAGACATACAGAATTAAATTTTGCACATTGTAAGATCTTATTTTGACACCAGGAAAAGGGGCTAACCCCTATTGGGCTCTTTGTTTGAAAACGTACACTTTATTATCCATGCTTATAATCCATGGCTTTGTATTTGCTGAAAGCAACAACACGTTGGTAATCAACTTGACAAATAACGATTTGCAATCTGTAATTCCAAGCATGATATTCCAATATTTCAGAATTCGTTTAAAACGAACCTTAATATTAAGGCATTAACACAAGGAACAAAAGAACTTTTATTTTTTACACATACAGAAAGTTCAAATCCCACCTATCTTCAAAGAATTTATTTAGCTGAAAAAAATCGTGTCTATATTTAGATGTTGTGGTATAATAAAGAAAAATTGTCACAAAGTTAGGGATAATCTCCCTCTAGCATTGCTCTGATTCTATGACGTTTTTGGTTTCAGTTGTTTACCCTTTCCTCCTTCTTTCATATATCCAAAGTCAGTTTTCATTTTTGCAATGTTTCTACTTGATGCTCACTGAAGAGACATAATTTGCATCTAGGACATCAAAATTGATAACTTATAAGATTAATCTTGTGAACTCTACCTGTAGGTCGAGGCGTCTGCTGGTTAACTACCAGTCCACAAGGCTCTCTATAAATCTGTAACTAAATGCTTTGTTCTAGTTTTGAATACGTAATATTTGCTGTTCTTCAAAATTATGGATCATATCTCTTTTGCATAGCTTTGATCCTTCATGTATTTTGCTCAAGTCCTTGGCACCCCCTTTATTCATCTCTATTTAAAAAAAAAAAATTTTGGAGATCTGTATTATGAGCATCACTGAAAATAAATATTTTGTCCAAAAGCTTATCTAATGTATCGGAATTGAAATTCTATAGGATTTACATGTTAGGAGAAATCAGCATAGGTACAAAACGGTATAATTTATAATATTTACATTTCCATTAATTTCATGATTCCTTACTTAATAAAGCAAGTATATTTTCACAAATTGAACTACATAGAAAGGTATGTATCACTAATGAGCATGAATATCTCCATTGTTACATCATAATACCGCTCTTAACGCCAAAAAGTCAAAAAATAAAGTACACACTGTTTCGTTCTAAAAATACAGTTAACCGTATAATTTTGTGATTTAACTAAAATTTAATGTAAATATATGAAATACATTACATATTTATTTAAACATTAAAATCCAAATTGTGGAATTGTATCATTTCAAAATTTTTTTGCGGTTAAGGAAGACCTTACATACAGAGATGACATAAATGTCTGACATGATTAAAACACACATTTGATCCAGTTCTCAATTTCACTACAAAACAACTAGTAGGCAACCCTACATTGTTAAATTCTAAACATAATCCTTGTAATAATGGAATGAAAAAAAACCCAATAAAAATCTGAAATATAATTGAAATATGATGTTAATTAAACATATAGAAAGACACATTGCTATTTCATAAATTTAAAAATATGCATATATATTATGCTGTTTGTTGAAAAATTTCTAAATTTGTTTGATTAATGTAGCTTATTTTCTAAAAATATTTCGTCTATATGTATATAAGATTAATAAAAAGTGCAGTTCTTTGTACATGTACATAATTTCCTTTTTAGAGGATTGTACATTTTTTGCTACTCCACACATTCAATTCACTCAAAAGTGCTCAAAATTTTATAAATTTTAGCAGATAAAATGTAAATTTTAGATTCATATATCATGCTTGTAGATACTATAGAAAATAATCATCAAGCAAGTGTTAAAGTATTGCTTATATCAAGATATTTAATTCAATACCTAGTGTAAGCAGACAGCTCAAAGCCCATCTGTCTTATAAAGGATTCTGAAAATTGAAATATTATAATTGAATATATTGAATGAAAAGAATATAACTTTATGTGATTTCAAAATTAATTGTAGGTTTTCTCTCTCTAGCATATAGCTTTGATCGTTTGACGTTTTTGGACCATCTTATCTCACTAAAAACAAACATCATATACACTTTACATGTATTATTTATTTTTTACCATATTGATAGTAATTAATCGCCAAAAGATTTAACAACAATTCGATTTTTTTAATAATATCGGTATTAAACGAAAAATACGGATATATATTTCATTTTAAAATTTATTTCAAAATTACGGATTATCTCCCTCATGCATAGCTCTGATCCTCTGACGTAAAAAAATAATATAAACAGTTCATTTGTTAGTATAATAATGGATAATTTCAGAGGATTGTAAGTGTTGAACACACTACTAGAAATTACTTTCATAAAAAAAGGATAAATGCAAACAATAAAATGTACATTCGGAAACATATACATAATATAAACAATCGAGAGAGAGAGAGAGAGAGAGAGAGAGAGAGAGAGAGAGAGAGAGAGGGAGAGAGGGAGAGATTGAAATACATAGTTATGACATGAAAAATAAATACACATTTCATTTCTGATGTATTCCATATGATCCCTTAGCAAACACAACAAATTGTTGACAAGGTTATTTTCCAGAAAATAAACATCATATAATAAAATTATTTTGTTTTACCAAAGTGATGCTAATTAATCGCCAAAACATTTAATTTGGTAAAAAAAATTTTCATAATAATTCCCAAAAAAAATTTCACTATATGTGTTGCAAAGTGTTTTGCAGTCTGGTTCATTGATGCTTTTCGCTAATTTATCCACATATATGCCCCAGAAAGCTCATTATGAACAATACATTCCATTTCATTCAACATACAATCGTTTTTTCTTTTTATGCCTCAGGGAATAGTACATTACCCTTATAAAAACGATTAAATTAAACATGTAATATGTACATTTCATATACATGGATTTAATACGATTAACAAGAGAGAGAGAGAGAGAGAGAGAGAGAGAGAGAGAGAGAGAGAGAGAGAGAGAGAGGTGACAAATTTACATGTAACTATAACTTACACATTATCATTTCTGATGTATCCTATATATTATCCATAGAAAGGTATGTGTTTTCAGCTGGTGATTTTCCAGAAAATAAAACAAGGAAATAAAATTAAATGTTAATTGCTTATTTTAAACATTGTTATTTGTAAAAATGTTCATATAAAAAATAAAATAATAATAGCTTTAGTACATATGTCATTACTTGTCAAAATTTCCATTATATCCTGGACATCTCCATAACTGTGTGAAAATACTTAGAAAGACGTTAAACAACAAACACAAAATGTCTCAGTTCGCTTAGGTTTAAAGGAAACTCGAGCAAACCCCCCCCCCCCCACCGGCCCCCTGATGTTGACATGTACATGCTTGCAAATGATTGAGAACATAAATTTTATTATATTGAAATTCATGATATATATTTACACTGGAGAATTTGATTTTGATACCCTCTAAATTACAATTGAATGTTTATCATACTTAAATTTAGTGTATTGGATAATAATACCAATTTTGAGTTACCCCCCTCCTCCGCAGGGGTGATAAGGAAGCATACAAAATATTCTACCTTGGCTGAGATTGGGTTGCATTATGACGTCAAAAAATGGTAAGATAAAATTCAATTTTAGAAATCAGGTTTTCGTAATATTGGTATTTAGCGATGTAATTTCACTCTAGAAAATGATTAGAAACGTGTAAACATTAACAAAAATAAAATGTTTTTATTTTGTTATGCTGTAACAGTCATTATGATTGAAAAAACGATATAAAATAAATATGTGTACATTTTTTAACTTGGAAATTGATCATGTCCAATACAAGAGAATTTAGCTAAGACGGCATGTTCAAAGATATGTAAAATGGAGATTATAAGGAAATGTCGGAAATTCTGTGTTAAATTCATATGGAGTTCAATAAATTAAACAGGTATGCTAATTAATTTTCATCGATTATATTCTCTTTCGAAGATAGTCAGCTATATTGAAGCCCTTCACCGGCAAACGATGCTATCTCCATATGAGTGAAAAATGCAACAGAACAACAATAAGCTGGATATTTCATAACATACGATTTGTACAGATTGAAAGTTTGCGTTTTGACAAACTTGGAAAGTGCCACTAGAGTAAGGAGTTTATGCATGGTTGTACGAAAAATCTCGATTTATTTGTATAAAATTCAAAACAGAGGGTAGGGTTTCGTGCGAATGTGTGGAATAAATATTTTACGGACAAGATAGTTGGATTCTAGCAGCACTTTTTAGCCAAAATAGATGTTTTTCAGCTATATTACATCGGCCTTCAATGAAATTATCAAACTCCGACGGGTATTGTGTGAAAATTCTGTAAGCCATTTTAACAAGGAAAAAAATGCTATTAATAGAAGTCACGTGATTCCGTGGCGGTGATGCAGTCTTTGCCTTAGACACGCTTTTATCTGTATGCAATAGTAAATAACAGTTTGATTTTATCAGTGGTTTTGGTAATTTATTAAAGTAAATTTTCTTCGAAAAGTCTAAATTTCCTGAGAAATTACTTATATGCTTCATTAACATACCCGCTTCCCAAAAAAAGGGAAAAGGAAAAAGTTCTTTAAATAACATGTATTAGTTAGTGAATACATCAAACAATTATAATAATTTTAGAAAGCAGAACATGAGTTTGTAAAAAAGATGTCCGACATTACAAATGTAAATAACATTGAGTAAAAAAACACATATACATCTAGGACACACAAAGACAATACAGCTTGATAACTAAAAGTCGCAAAGACTTTAAGTAAGAATCGTTATATCTGTTCTCTGTTTGTATGTATGAAAATACATAAATTCAAGAAAAATCGCTTCCGAATGATTATAATAGGTGAATATATTTATATTCTGAATTAGTTTTTGATTCTAATCATCATCCGAGTCTTTTGCAGGGCTTCGTAAAATTTCCAAGAAAACCAAAGTGGGGCATTACCATTAACTACAGGTGAGGTAAAGTACTGTCCATTCAGGTGTGACCTGTAACAGTCTCTATGCCACCAGGCTCCATGGTATTTTATAGCACAGTTACGGATTCTATTGATATCGTTATCCTGATCCAATGTGGTAAATCCCATGCCATTGTGAAAAGTTAAACTGTCACCTAAAAAGAGTATTGATTACATTATAGTCCATCATTTTTTAAGTAAACAATAATAGTTTTAGTCAATATAATGTACCGTTTATGGTCAAAAAAAAAATACGCTAAAAATTCAGTTTTGTAACAATCTTTTATATCAAATACAATATACATTACATATTACACACACCCATTAAAAATTATTTATATGTAAATGAACATTTCAAACAAAATAAAGAATTTGTCATGACAGCCATCATTTGATTTTGATGCTTGTTTTAATTCTGGGATAAATATATTCATAAAATATGAAATTTAGGGTAACATTCATTCAATATATGATATCATAATTTATATATAGTGCTTAGTATGGATTTACCATACATGTTTTTTTTTCTTTAATATCAGCTCATATTTAAAATGTCAATGCAGGAATATGCCTCATTATTTAGAAAAATATAGACAGATTTGATATTGACTGATTGTATTGCATTTACAAGTCTTCTCAAGTATTTATTGACAGAACACCTACTGAAAACATTTTGAGCGAAAGGAATTTTTCTTCAATTGAGAGATAGTAATGCTACTCTATACTTTATAGCGAGCGCAGCGCTGCTCTACATTCGCGCTGCTCGTCACTGCGCTCTTACATCAACGCCAGGGCGAAGAGAAAATTCAGACTTTGAACTTTGATCCATAGTTATTAGCGAAATGCATTTCGCTACTCAAACTACGTTCACGCATTAATAAAACTTTCTAAAAAAGAAAAAAACCCGCCTTGATTTTAATGTATACGTGTAATGAATAAATTGCAGATAAATAGTAGATTAAAAGTTTTTGATAAAACATGCACTGTTCAGGCTTCGATTTAATATGGTAACATTTTATTGCAAGGTTTAAAGTCTAAATTCGGAAATAAAGTATCTGCGATTGACAGAACATCATATTGAATTTTTTTTTTAACGATAACGTTAGTGTTCTTCAAATGAATTCGTGAGAGATTGTTATATGTTTCACAATGACAATTTATGAATTAGCACTGTCAATGGAAATCTTTAAAATGTGTTTATGACAAATGTGATGTAATAGGGCTTTAAATTCCGTTCTTTTAATGATGTACTTTACCTGCAGTCCCTGTGTATCATGATACGGTGAGTTTGTACTTGTTTGTCTCATTTCCGATATAAAATATAGAATATTCAGCATATGCCTTTTCCCCGTTAAATGCTTGGAGGTCTACTCGAAGTTCTTGATCCTGATCTTTGGTTAAAGCATGGATAACATCATTCCCTTTGTAATATATGATTATAAGAAAAATAGATATAAGAATGATTTATGTTTGATGGAGATAAATGTTTTCATTAAGTTTTTGATAAAAATTTGCATAAACAGTAATTTAGTCTATCGTAGGTGTTGTATAACATATATTGGGTCACAAGGTTATAATACCCGCCTATAAGTCGGTTATAATTAAATAAGTAAAACTCTATGTCCTAACTTGTCGCACTGTAAAGAGATTTGTATTTTTCTCTTAAAAAAATTATTTCTTCTGACGATTATCAAAGAAATTGTATAGATATGTAAGATAAGTTATGTATTCTTAGATTATATATATAAAGTACAAGTATAAACATATTTTAATAATTTTATTTGCAATTTAAAATGACATTGCCTTTATGTTTGATAATGTAAGATTGTAAGACTCTCTCGAAAAATATTAATTGATTTGTTAAAATTCGTTTTTATGTTTCAAATAACAATTTTCAAATAAAGTGTACCGACTTATAAGCGGGTCAATAATCTTTAAAAGATTTTAACGTCAAAAAATGTAATTGGACTTATAAATACCGTTCGAGTATATATGATAATATATTTACTTTGCAGTCCCTAAAAAAGTGTAATTTATCGATTTACTGCGATAATTATCGATAATCACTGAGAAGATGCATAAATGCAAAGACAAAATAATTAAATACATAACAGGATATCTGAAATTCAATAAATAACTCGAAATCTTCAAGGAATCTAGGCCATAATATTCCTAAAGCGATTATCGTTCTTGATTCTGATCTTTGGTCAAAACATGGATAGCATCATTCCCTTTGTAATAATTATAAGAAAAATAAATGTAAGAATATGATTTATATATGTATGATGGAGATAAGTGTTTTCCTTTTATTATTCAATGAAAGACACCAATCGCGACAGCATAAACAGTAATTTATCGTTTGTCGTAGGTGTTGTATTGAATATTTTAGGCTGGGCTTAAGTTGAGAAAGATAAGATTAAGAGGTACTGTCAGTTTATCCCATGACCGACAAATTTTTCTTTGATCTTCGCAAGGGTGTATTTCTCATATCAACATAAGTGTGGTGATATATTAAATATCACATATGTGATATAAAGCTAGTGATATCCAACGGTTATACTCCGGATGTAGGAGGAGCTATGCAAATGTAGACAAAAATTCAGATTTGCTTAGATTTTAAAAACTAACAAAAAAATCAGAAAAACAAAACAAAACAGATAACACAGTTTAAATCAAAATGCACAAATCTGTTTAAAAAAAGACATCGACACTGTAAATTGGCCAAACTAGTAAAGATTCTCGATACCGGATAACTTTTTTTTTCTCCCATGATAGAAATTCGCACATTCAATAGTAGCATTTTCCTTTCGCGCATAATTGAAAAGTTCAAAAATATAATGAACACCTTGCTCTCATGTACCGTAGAATATCGGAACAAATCGGATATAACCATTCTGCACATGCGCGGATAGGGGAAACCATATGCGCACCTGGCTTCAATTACAGTGTACAAAACGTGACATATAAATACACAAGTTCTTTTTTTTTACAACAAAAACAGTCTTATTTCAGAAATGGTTTTAAACTCACCAAGTTGCTGATAAAGATATCCTTTTGCTGAGATTTCCAGTCGTTGAACACTTGAACCATGTTGACTGCCCATGAAGTGTTACGGCTAAAGTAAACAATATTTTAGG